CCTCCTCCTCCTCCTCCTCCTCCTCCTCCTCCTCCTCCTCTTCCTCCTCCTCCACCTCCTCCTCCTCCTCCTGAGCCTCCTGCTGCTGCCGCTGCTGATGCTGCTGCTGCTGCTGATGCTCCTGCTGCTCCTAGTCCCCCTCCTCCTCTTCCACCTCTTCCTCCTCCTCCTCCTCCTCTTCCATCTCCTCCTCCTCCTCCTCCTCCTCCTCCTCTCCTCCTTTCCTCCTCCTCATCCTCCTCCTCCTCCTCTCCTCCTCCTCCTCCTCCTCATCCTTCCTCTCCTCCTCCTCCTCCTCCCCCCCCTCCTCCCCCCGCGGCCGCCTCGGGCGCGCCGCGGCCGCGCCAGCGGCGGCCCGCGCGGCCCGCGCGGGCGGCCGTGGGCGGGCGCCCTCGAGCCCGCGGCGCGAGCGGGCACGCGCGGCCCTCCTGCGGCCCTGCTCATGCTCCTCCTCTCCTGCTGCTGCTGCTGCTGCTGCTGCTGCTGCTGCTGCTGTTCCTCCTCCTCCTCCTCCTCCTCCTCCTCCTCCTACTCCTCCTCCTCCTACTCCCTCCTCCTCCTCCTGCTGCTGCTGCTGTTCGGACTCCTCCTCCCTCCTCCCTCCTCCCTCCTCCTCCCTCCTACTGCTGCTGCTGCTGTTCCCTCCTCCTCTCCTCCCTCCTCCTCCCTCCTACTGCTGCTGCTGTTCCTCCTCCTCCTCCTCCTCCCTCCTCCTCCCTCCTACTGCTGCTGCTGCTGCTTCTCTTGCTGCTGCTGCTGCTCCTCCTCCTCCCTTCTCCTCTCCGTCTCCTTGTTCCCCCGCTCGTTGACCTCCCACGCCCTTTTTTCCTGCTGCACTTCAGAAAGGTAGGAAAAGGAGGTTTTTGGAAAAATTAGTGAGGAGAGCGATCTTTAACAGCCAGAACCATCGCGCGCGCTTCGCGCGCGCCCAAGTTCTAGCTAGGCTTGATGGGCAAATTCATGGAATCTCACTTTTGTCGTTTCTTGCATCCTGGGACTCTCTTGGAGGCTCTGCGCAAGCCTCGGAATCGTATAGAAGGGGAAGTGCGGAAACGCAGAAATCACTAATTTCCGTTAGGTATTAAACGATTTGGGGCCCTCACAAGCTTCTTGTATTCTTTTCTGGGAGCTGAGGGGGGCCGGCCTTAATTGTGGTCTGTTTTGCAAGAGTGGATAAGGGGTGCGAACTTGAAAAAAAGGAATCGTGGGATTTCCTTTCTTTTTCAAGTTGCCGTGCCTGGGCCGTGGGTTAGAAATTTTCTGGATGCAGGCCGCGGTCTGTTGGGCTCCACATCGAGCCGCATCGCCGATCGCTCCGACCCCATCTGCTCGGACACCATTTGGGAGGCCTGCAACGTTGCCCCCTGGTTTTCGGGTCATAACTCGGCCGTTCGGAAGAATCAGGGCACCCCTGGAACGCCCTCGGCGAGGCGAAGCTGCTGGAGAACATTCCGAAGCTGGAAAGCCGCCGAGAACCGACGAACATTGGTGGGAAAAGGTATCCATGCCGCTACCCTCCGCCCGTTTTCCCGTTTTTGGGCCTCCTGGGAGGTTCTCGTCGCCACCGATGGATTCGCTTCGAAATCCTGGTCAGATCTCACCCCAGGAGAGGTCCGGGGCGTAGCGGTATCGGTACCTGTTGGTCTCCCCACACTCAACTGGGGTCCGAGGTTCAAGGTTTTCGGCGTTTTCTCAGCCACGCGCAGTGGGGAGTGGGAGGAAGGGGGTCTTCTCAGGAGTACTCTGCTTCTCAGAAAACGCCGAGGACGGCGCCGGTGCGGATCGTGACGGTGCCGGTCCCCTCCCCCCCCCTCCAATACAGTCAGCCCGTATCATAAGATTGCCCGGTAAGGATGCAAGGGCCTTGGAGGCCCATGTTAGCGTTGTTCGAACGAGGTTGGCCAGCGAAAGTTGCTAAGGATGGGCCGAAGGGGCAAGGATGCAAGGGTACCCTTGGGAAGGTTGCCCATCCTTAGTATGCGGGATGACTGCAACGGCTGTCATCGCTCGGGGAGAAGGGAGGCTCGGGTTCGGGGGGCTCGGGTTGGCCTGACGGGGCCGTCAGGGAAATGACGAGGCCCAATCTGAAATCTGACGCGAGCTCCCGATGCAGACATCCCAGGAAAACTAGACCGTCAAAATTCAGGACGGGCCCGTCAAAAAGCTTCGGCAAACCCGAGTTCCAGCGAACTCCAGTCTTACGTTTCCCCGAATCGCGAGAGGAAAGGATCGCGGCTTCCCGATAGCACTGATCCTTGGATACGGGCCACCACGCCGCCACTGGGGCGTTCATCCCTGAAGGCCTGCGCACAAGGTCGCCGCCGCGCCGACACTACACGGACTTACCGCGTAGTGGCTTCAAGTGTTTCGAGCCTCTCAGGGCTTCGCTCTGGCGGCGCCACCTCCCTGGGGGCTTGATCGCACTTATCTTGGGCGCTCCCGGGTGCTGTCCTAGAATATCTCTCAGCGAGTTCTCGATGCCCTCCTGGGCCTTTCTTGGACCCTATTCGAAGCTAGGCGCCCAAGAGGCACCAAAGAGGCACGCAGGAGGCCCCTGGAGGCGCCCAAGATGCCCGCAAGAACCCTCCAAGAGGCCCCCGAGACCATCGACAACCCAGGCACGGTGGCGTGATGGGCCGAAGGCCATTGCATCCGCCGCCGCCTGGTGATTCATCACAGGGGTGCACGGCGTGCTACATTTCTGAGAAGTGTTGTCTTTTCTACAGAACTTTCAATGGGGTCTCGGCCCAATCCGCCGGCCACCTGGAAAGCTCGGGAACACTTGTTTTCCATTTATCCCATCGCGTCCAAGACGGCAAAGACGGTAGCCTCCAAGATGCCCGCAAGAAACTACAGAACTCCCAATGGGGCCTCGGCCCAACCCGCTGGCCACCCGGAAGCCCAGGAAACTTCGTTCTCCATTGGTCCCATCGCGTCCAAGACGGCCAAGACGGTCCAAGATGGCCCCCAAGACAGCCCAATCGGATGGACAAGAAAATGTCGAGGAAGAGGATAGGGAATAGGATTCCCAACTTGGAAAAAAAACAGGGGCTCTCTGGAATTCATGTTTTTTTCAAATTCCTCGGTCTTTTGAGCTTTGGAAGCAGGAAAACGTGAGAAGGCGAAAACCGTTCAACAAAAGAAAAGAAATCGGCGAGTTAACCCTCTTCGGGCTCTCTCGTGACGGCTTTCGAAGCTCTCTTGGACTGTGTTTGGGGCCTCGTCGGGGCATTTTCGGCGCTTCTCAGGAGTCTGGAGTGTGTTGGGGGCCTCTGGGAAGTTCTGGAGGCCCCTCGGAGGTCTCTGGAGGCCTCCTGCTCCCGCTCTTGGGCCCATTTTGGGTCTGTTCTGAAAGGTCTGGGGCTGTCCTGGGCGCCTCTGCGGCAGTCTTGAGGCCTTTTCGGCCCGTCTTGGGGCCGTCTTGGGGGCCTCTTGTGCGGTCTTGGGAGCCTCTTCGGCCGTCTTGGAGCGTTGGAAACATGAAATGATGAGACGGCCAAAAACGTAGAAACAACCAATGACAATTCACGATTTTAGGTTCTCCGGGCGCTTCCGGGAGGCCTCCAGGAGCTCTCTTGAGGTCTCTTGAAAGCTTTCTGGGAGCCTGGAGAGCCGACCGAAGGCGATTTTGGGTTGCTTAGGAGCGTCTTGGGCCTTTCTTTTACGTTCTGGAAACTTTTTGGGGTGGTCTTGGGCTGTCCTTGGGCGTTTTGGGGGTCCCCTGGGGCCGGAACGCGCAATACCGGGAGCGTTCCGCAGATGTTCCGGGGAGGTGTGGGACCCCCGGGAGGGGGGAAGGGCCCTGCTTTTCAAGTTCCTTGGTCTTTGAGCGTTGGAAGCGGGAACACGTGAGAAGGCGAGAAACTTAAGAAAAAAAGGGAATGACCGATTTTACCCTCTTCGGGCTCTCTCGGGGCGGCTCTGGAAGCTCTCTTGGGCTGTGTTTGGGGCCTCGTCGGGGCTTTTTCGGGGCTTTTCAGGAGTCTGGGGTGTGTTGGGGGCCTCTGGGGGGGTCCAGCGTCCTCTCGGAGGTCTCTGGAGGCCTCCTGCCCGCTCTTGGGCCCATTTTGGGACTGTTCTGAAAGGTCTGGGGCTGTCCTGGGCGCCTCTTCGGCAATCTTGGGGCCTTCTTGGCCCGTCTTGGGAGCCTTTTGGGCGGTTTTTGGGCGGTCTTGGGGGCCTCTTCGGCCGTGTTGGAGCGTTGGAAGTGTGAAATGGTGAGGATGCAAAAAAACCTTGAAAATCAATGACAATTCACGATTTTAGGTTCCCTGGGCCCACTCGGGAGGCTCGGAGCTCTCTTGAGGTCTCTTGGAGGCCTCCTGGGAGCCTGGAGAGCCGCCCGAAAACTATCTTGGGTTGCTTGGGAGCGTCTTGGGCCGTTCTTTTACGCTCCGTGGGTTTCTTGGGGTCGTCTTGGGCTGTCCGTGGGCGTTTTGGGGGCTCCCCGGGAGGCCGGGAAGCGCGGTACCGGGAGCGTAAGGCAGATGTCACAGGGAGGTGTGGGACCCCCGGGAGGGGGGGGGCGAATTTGTTTATATATCATAATATACATGTATGCGTGTATGTATATGTACATACATATATATACAGAGAGAGAGAGAGAGAGAGAGGGGGAGAGAAATAAATAAAGAAATGAATACATATATGAAGAGGGAGGGAGGGAGGAGGGGGAGGTAGGGAACGAGAGAGAAAGAGACACAGAGAGAGGGGGAGAGAGAGAGAGAGAGAGAGGGGGTAGAGAGACAACATACGCTCCTAAGGTCGACTCGGACGAATCCCATCGGAAATGCGACCATCTGCCTCGGCACCATAATCAAGAAGTGGCGGCGCAATCCCAGGACAGCGCACATCTTATCTTGGAAGGTCGATGAAATCGGTGAGTGAAGCGTGTGTCAGAAGGCACGCCAGAAGCCTCATGCTGGGGGATCAGCCGGTACACCTCAATGTTGGTTCCTTCGTCCAACTGCCAATCTCTTCCAAGGGCATCAACCTTGCAATCACAACCTCACTGACTTCGAGGATGCCAGCGGCCATGGCGATGATTGTAATCTGCGGCCTTGATCAGACACGCGCATTCGACAAGGAAAGAAGGAAAGGGGAGAGCAATCACATTTCTTCTTGAATTGGATCCGGCCTAACCGATGCTCGTATCGAAATGCAGGAGCAGCATCTCCTGAGAGGGGGCTAACACGAGGCTAATTTCCCGATGCGACTTCGCCATTCTCAGGGGTCAAGCGGTGGAGTGTATATCCCGCCCCAAGTACTGGGGGAGGCGGGGGCGAAATGGATGGCCACCGACGTCATGACGAGCTGCGGGGTAAAGAGTCTGCCAGCTAGGACCTGTTCGCTTCACCTTCCACCATCTCCATCTTGCCTCCTCGGACCTCGCTCCTCACTCCATCTCGCCCTCCCTCCTTCCACCTCTCGTCGCCAGCCTCGTCGCCGTCTTCGTCGTCGTCGTCGTCCTCCTCCTCCGCCTCGTAGTGGCTGGAGAGGGGGGCGGAGGAGGGGGGGCGGAGGAGGACCAGCAGCAGCAACACAATGCAGACTAGGAGAGGCAGGGTGAGGAAGAAAGGAAGAGCAGGAGCAGGAGCAAGAGCAGGAAGAGGATCGGACGCTGAAATTACTGTTGATGTTGGTGATGCTGATGTTGCAGCTGATGATGATAAACGGGGATGCTGGTGCAACACAACCAGGCTAGCGGACGAGCCGCGCGGCGGCGCAGGCGCGGCGGTCAGTGAGCGCGACCAGCGCGTCGTAGTCAGCGGCGGCGCAAAGCCGCAGAACTTCAGGAAGATGAGAATGCTTCAGTTTGTGGTACACCTCGAAACTGACGAGGATCGGCCAGAAGTCTTCGGGCTCGTCGGCGAGACGGCTGATGCACTAAAGGCGGCTGCCAAGCGGGAACTTGCCGAACACGGAATAGACGATGCCCCAGAGGACGTGGCAGTCAGCGTAGTGCGCCCAGAGTCGGGGGCGTCGCAGCCGCAACGGAACTGATGGACGACACACTCGTGCATCCGCGCGCTGGTCGTCCAGCCACCCATCTACGCCTTCAGGCAGGCCCCGCGACGCGGACGTGCGAGCGGCGCGCGACGAGGAAGAGCCGCGCGAGGTCGGGCTCGCGGAGCGTGCTGGCGCTGCTCGGCCAGTGCTTTAGGAGGCGCTTGCGCAGCATGACGTCGAGGCTGGCGGGGAAGATGAGGGATTTGAGCGTGGCGTACGTGAACTTCCGGGTGCGCGGCGGAGGCAGCCAGGCACGCGCGCGCTCGAGAGCCAGCAGCTTGTAGTTGGCGACGGTGGCACAAAGCGCGCGGTCGAGCGCGCCGCTAGGGGGATGATGCTGATGGTCGTGATGATGATGACGATGATGATGCTGATGATGATGATGCTGATGATGCTGATGCTGATGGCGATGATTTGTTGTTGATAATGGTGCTACTTCTGATGATGAAGATGATGACGATGATGATGACGATGATGATGCTGATGATGTTGACGGTGACGATGCTGCTGCTGATGATGATGAGAGGTGACTACAGAATAATGATGTCAGATCCTTAGACAATGCGGTCCTGTGGCGACAACAATACCGTGGCCGTGTACTGGCGACTCTGTGTCGCGGGCGCCCAAGTCTCAGACTGCGGTGCGATCCACGTCACGTGCAGTTGCAGCATCGGCGAGGGCGTGGGAGCGGCCGATGCGGCGCCGATGTTTTTTTTTCAGGGAGGCGCGTCCTCGAGCAAATCATAGGTTGGCCTGCAAGCCGGAGGATGGATTCAGAAATTGGCATGAGGGAGAGGGGTCCTCGAACAAAAACGGGTCGTGGACACCGAGGCCTCCCCCAAAACCGGCTTTCTGTCCAGAATTGTTTGTTGTCGGCTCTTGAGCCCGCGGAGGGCACCGAGAGTTTGACAATGGTGCAAAGACCTCCAGGGACTCTTTTCCATCATGCCGGGGAAACTCGCACGGCTACTGGATCCTAGAAGCATGGTCGGGCTCTCGCTGTGGCAGCGCGAACGGCCGTTGAGCGCTCACTCAACATGCCCATGCACCCTTTTACACGCCGGTCGGAAGAAGTTGGTAGCAACATGATACTGGAGGAAAGCCCCAATCAGAGTCTTTCTTGAATTTACATGAGATCCCTCTGTAATTGCTCCTTAGGTTCATGAAGTCTGCGAGTGCTATGAAGGCCATGAGGGCTAGGGCTATGCGGCTATAGGGCTATAGGGCTATGCGGCCATAGGGCTATAGGGCTGTAGGGCTGTAGGGCTGTAGGGCTGTAGGGCTATATGGGCTATAGGGCTTTAGGGCTTCAGGGCTTTAGGGCTATAGGGCTATAGGGCTATAGGGCTATAGGGCTATGGGGCTGTAGGACTATAGGCCTATAGGGCTATAGGGCTATAGGGCTATAGGACTATAGGGCTATAGGGCTAGAGGGATATAGGGCTAGAGGGCTAGAGGGCTATGGGGCTACAGGGGTATACTGTAGTGCTATAGGGCTATAGGGCTATAAGGCGATAGAGCATCCGGGGATTTGTGCCCCCGGGCTCCCCCGGGCACCTCTGGGCACCCCTGGGCACCTCTGGGCCCCCCCAGGCACCAGGGCACCCCGGGGCATCCGGGCACCCATGGGCACCCGGGCCGGCCACCGAAGTCGGCGACGCACCTCACCTAACCATATGAATCCGCTAGGACCCCTAAAGAGGCAAGCTCTGATTGGGGAATGAAGTAGGAGGGCGTTAGGAGTGGATTGGGTCTCCGTCCACCCCCTGAAGAGGAGGGAAGAGGGAAAGCCGTTCGACTCCTGAAGTAGGAAGGCGTCTAGTATAGATTGTGATCTGGGAATCCAGAAATACCTGCTTTCAACGACCGGCGTATACCCATGGTGGCGATCCAGATGGCTGCGGCTGTGCAGCTTCTCCCTCCTCCTCTTCCCCGTCCTCTTTCTCCTCCTCCTCCTTCCCCCCCTGCTGCTCTTGCTTCTCCAACACCTCCTTCTATTTCTCCTGCCTGTCTGGCTCCTCCTTCTTCTCCTCCTCCTTCTCCTCCTTGTGACCCTCCGGATCTCCCCTCTACCCCACCTCCTCCTGTTCCTGCTCCTGCTTCTTCACCTCCTTCTCCTGCTCCTCCTCGTCCTCCTTCTTCGCCTCCCCCTCCTCCTCCTCCTCCTCCTTGTCGCCTCGCGCCCCTACTCTTACCAATCCTTCTCCTCTGTCTTCTCCTCCTCCTCTTTCCTCCTTCCTCTATCCTTCTGCTGCTGCTCCTTATCCTCTCGCTCCCCATTTTTACTTTACATCCGCCCGTTCTCTACTCTTATCTCTCCCCCACTTTTCTCCTGTCTTCGCCCGTTTTGTCCTCTACTCTTCTCTTGATGCCCCCCACTACAATTTTTCGGATTATGTTCCTACTTCCCACTCTAATCATGTTTTTTTTTCATTTCTTCCTGATCGCCCTCCTACTCCTCACCTCCTCCTCGTCTGTTTCCTCCTCTTCCTCTTCCTTCTCCTCTCTCCTCGTCTCTCGCCTCTCGTCTCTCGCATCTCGTCTCTCCTCGTCCACCTGCTCCTCCACCTAGCCTCTCTTTTCTGCTCTTCTGTTTGGCCATCGTTTTCCTTATCTTATTTGCTCTTCTCTTCTCTTCCTGTCTCTTCTCTTCATTCCAAAGCTACACATTCTAAAGTATAGTCTCCTCTCTCCCCTGCCAATGTCCTGCTGCCCACCCGCCGCCTTGCGTACTTGTGGCACACCTATTTCGATGCCCAATGCTAGATTCTATTAGTCAGCGAGGGCCCCAAACAGCGTGTCTAGCAAACGATGTTGCGATCCAGTGGGGCAATTTATACGGTGCATTCTAGGTAGCCTATTCGATGCTGTGCAACCGAGGTTCTGCAATCTATGAGGTGCGATTGATTTTTACCAATGATTTGACACATCCCACGCTCTTGCAAACATCCCACCCACCCACCCGCAACTTGGTTTGCAAAACCTCTTAAAAGACCGACTACGACGACACCGACGACAACGGCTACGACGACACCGACGACGTCTCCGACGACTTCGACGACGACAACGACGCCGACGACGACGGCGGCGGCGACGACGACGCCGACGTCGACGAAGACGACGCCGACGCCGACGACGACGAAGACGACGACGACGTCGTCAACGAAGACGACGACGAGGGAGGAGGGAGGACGACGACGGCGACAACGACGACAACGACGACAACGAGGGAGGAGGGAGGACGGCGACGACGCGAACGACGAAGAAGGAGGAAGGACGGCGACGCCGACGACGACAACGACGAGGGAGGAGGGAAGACGACGACGAGACGACGACGACAACGACGACGACGACGACGGCGACGAAATAGGAGGGACGACGACGAGACGCCGACGACGGACGACGACGACGACGACGAGGGAGGAGGAGGAAGGACGACCACGGCGACAACGACGACGGAAACGACCACGACGCCAAAGAGGACGACGACGACGAACACGAGGAAAGACACAGGACGACGTAGGCGACGACGACGACGACGCGGGAGGAGGGAGGACGGCGACGACGACGACGACGACGACGCCGCAAAAGCGCGCGCGCACGCTTTCGTTGAACATCCGTGTTGCGAAACCTAATATTCTTGTAGGTTTTTTGGACGCGCGATTTTGAAATCCTTCCGAAACCGATGGGTTTTGAAGGATTTCGGCGTACGCGCGCGACGACGCGCGCGTCTGCACTTCGTCCCGTTTTTTGCAGAGGATTCTCGCGACGGCACACGCGCAAGGGCGTTCGACAGATTTCGACATGCGCGCGCGCGCGACGCCCGTTTGGTAGCATGTTGTGAAAATCTTGAAAAACCAATGGTTTCTCAAGATTTCGCAAAAGCTCGCGCGTAAGCTTTTTTAGCAAATCAGCGTTACGAAGCCCTGTGTTTTTGTATGTTTTTTGGAAGCTCGATTGCGACATCCTTCTGGCACCGAAGGTTCTTGGAAGATTTCGGCATGCGCGCGCGACGACGCGCGCGTGTGTACTTCGTCCCATGTTTTGCAAGGGATTCGTGAAACAGCGTTGTGTTAGAACAAAAAATCTCACCGCATAGCGTTTTTTACAAGGGAACCTCAGGGGGGGATACCGACCGGCCTGGGACGTTGTGATTTCATAATTACA